TTTTCACTGCATAATAATATCTACGAACATAAATACACCACTCTCCAAATCTAACCGCCTCTTTTCGACTAAGCCGTCCGTAGGTTACACGACGTATTCGATCGACAAGCGACTGACTCGCCGTTTCGCTCGTGTCACCGGCAATAACCGACCGATAACCGACCGTGACCGACCGGACCCACCCCTACTCTTATCGACTAAGTCGTTCGTAGGTTACACGACATACCCATTTGTCAAGCAACTGACTCGCCGTTTAACTCGTGTCAATGCCAAAACAACAAGCAAGTTTACAATTAACCAATCAAATACAAAAGAATGTTTAATTTAATCATGTTTTCATAAACAGTTTCATGACGGTTTCATAACTCAGAAGACAAACAGCTAATCATACAATTCAAACAATTCAATTTTATTATATGAATGCATGAGTAACCAATAATAGTAAATCGTTAAATGTGTTTCCAGGTTTTCACTCATACGAACTAATATTTAATACCGACAATTTCTCAACGTCATATAAATGATTGTAAAAAATTTTATGAATTATCATCATTTATTTTTAATAAACACAAAATCCGCCCATACTAAAAGTCCTAAACAGGCTTTCAAGATTTCTAAGTAGGTTACTAACCTGGATGGTAATTCTCTGTATTGCATACAAATATGTTTACCCTTGGATATAGGTTACTCTAGTTTTATAATGAACAAACAATTTATTTTATTAAATGATTGAGGATTATTTAAAGAAATTAACCTTTATACAAAATTACCCATCACTATTCAAAAGTATTTTTTTTGTATAAATAATGAATAAATAATTGTATTTCATAAATAATTTAGGTATGCTACGTAGGATTCCGTATGGGCTAGATTATTCATAGAGGTGTGCATATAAGAGTATCCAAAGTAAAAGTTATATTTCGAAATACTAATGTAATTTAGAAATCAATTGTGGTTTTTGTAGTAAACTTGATGATTTAAGTAAGTTCAAGACCTGGAATACTGTTATTTATAGCTGAAATATTTAAATAAGCTTTGAGATAGAAATAGAGATAAAATGCAGTTCATTTTGGATTGGTTTCTGTATTATTAATTTCGGCAAATTTTTGATCTGCACGTGAAAAAATAAATAAATATGGGGTTCGATATTACAAATCGAGCCTACACTTCTGATTTTCGAAAATAGAACTTTGAATAAAGTAATAAAGTAATAACTTATGTAAAAGGTGGATAAGGTTGTCTATTGAGGTGAAGTAAGGTGTTTAAAGAGAGAAGAAAGAAGTTGGAATGTTTAGTGAGTGGAATTTGTTAAGCACGATGCTGCCATTCACTCACCCCACGACAACAGGACACACACCCTACCTGATGATTTATATTCGACTACGATCTGAAAACATTGATTGCTATAAGGCACAACAAATAAATACGACATAGTAAATATGAGTTCTGCAGAATGAAAACCTGAAAGGGAATATTTAGGTAACCAAGTCTGGAAAAGCTTATAAAAAGTAAACCGTATTCCAATGTTCATTTAAGTGTTCGCCTTAATAATCCCCGATAGTTAAAAGTCCATTTAATAAAAACTGCGCCTATACATTAAAAATTCGTGGCTTAATCAAGCACACCAATTACCAGGACTAAATCTAGTTAAAGCCTCCATTATTAAGGTCTATAGTAGTATTTAAATAATATTTGTAGTGTTATATGACCTTTTAACCTGACTCGTATTGGCTCACAACGTATGCACATATTAATTTAATGAAATACATCGATATCACCAACTTCAAAGCTATAAAATTCGAGAAATAAATAAAGGCAAAGCCGCAAATAAATATTAAATTATTTGTGGCAAAGTATGTGGCAATTGTGTTTAGCATGATTCAAACATTTAGCAAAAAAAAAAAGAAAAAAAAATTTTTTTGAGACAAAGGATAAGCCTATAACGATAACGATAAAATTTCTACCTTTATTTTACATATAACTTTCGGATTTCTATCATAACAAATAATGAAAAATTTTACGTAATACTAATATAAAAATTCTATAAGTGATCACAATCTCGTATTCAGAAAATATTTTTTAAGTCTAAAAATCGAAATCGCGAATGTCATTATTATTGAATAAAAAATTATTTCTTTTTACATTTCTGTTCTCACTGATAGTCCAAGCAACTCAATTAAATCCCAAACCTTTTGGCGGAGATGAAGTTTGCGAAAAAGTTCATTATCCACCAGAAATTTTAGAACCAGTACCAAAATTAAAACAATGCCTTTCTACTATCAATGGATTGGCCGTTTATCCGGGTGATCCAGACTATTATGAAAGTATTAAAGTTGCAAATTGTCGAAATTCCTACTTTCCCGTTGTGATAATATATGTTACAAAAATTTTAGATATTCAAATATCACTTTATTGTGCAAATGCTTTAAACATTCCTGCTACTGCCAGATCTGGTGGACACTCTTATGAAGAATATGGAAATGGTGGAAGAAATGGAGTTATGGTGATTGATGTACAAAAATTCAATCAAATAATTATTAATAAAGAAACGAAAACAGTTGTTATCGGAACTGGAAATAGATTAGGTCCCATTTATTATAATTTAAATAAAGCTGGATTTTTAATTCCAGGAGGGAGTTGCCCTAATGTTGGTATTGGTGGGCATGCTACTGGTGGTGTAAGTATTATATTCAATTTATTATTATATCCGATTTATTATATAATTTATTATTATATACGATTAATTATTATATTATATTATTTATAAATTTATTTTTTATTGACCAACAATTAGGGTTTCGGGTTTGTTGCAAGAAAGTACGGATTGTCATCCGATAGTATTATTAGTGCTGAAATGGTTACAGCGAATGGAACTTTCTTATCACCTATCAACTCCACACATTATTCGGATCTATTTTTTGCGCTTCGAGGCGCTGGTAATGCCGGTTACGGCATAATAACCACTTTCACCTATAAAATCTATCCTATACCACCAATAGTTACTTCAATTAATATCTCCTACGTTTCAGAACAAGTCGAAATGGCATTCATGTCACTTGCAAAAGTGGCTGAAAATCTTAATGACAACATAACACCATACATGCGATTACTACCTGATAGTAATGACACATATACATTTTCAATTATTGCTATATATTTGGGATCAGCAAAAGAGGCACAAAGTGCAGTCAAAGAATTAATCGAATTATCAAACCCTGCATACATGAAATTTGAAGAAATGACTTGGTGGGATGCTATTTCTGAAAATGCCACAATGCAAACAATATTCCCAGTATTTGATCGCGAACCTTTTAAAGCCACATCTTTTGATGTCGCGCCACCAGGTCTTTCTCGAGAAGGCCTTAAATTTTTAAGGAACTTTCTTAATAATATTGAATGTTATACAAAAGCATTAATCGATGTATATGCTGGTGGTGCAGTAAGTAGATTTCCGTTAAACAGTTCATCCTTTACTCATAGAGGTACTTTTTATACCATACAAATAGCAATGCATCTAAAAGATCGTAGCAAAGAAGTTCAAGTTAAATGCCTAGAGAAACATTTGCAATTTAGGCAAGAATTTCAGGAAAGATATACTACATATTTTAGCTATCAAGATTATATTGATAAAGACTTGCCAGATTGGGAAACTAGATATTATGGATTTAATTTGCCTAGATTGGTTGAAACTAAAAAGAAATATGATCCTCATAACTTATTTAACTGGCAACAAAGTATTCCTCTAAAATTGGCATAATGTTCAATTTAACAATAAATTTATTTATTTATTTTTAGAATTTATGAATAAGATTTGTTTTTTTAAAGATGTTTTTCTATTTGCTGTTAACTCTAAAAAATTATCAAGTAAATTAGAAGTCAATCGATTTGCCAAACTATCTTCATACTTGTCGATTAATATTATATTGCTCTTATACTAAAATTAGCAAGTGAGAATTTGAAAACAAAAATGATACTCTATATAATTAACGGTTATGCAAATTGGCTTGATTCTAATAGTAACACCTGAATATAAATAAGTTATATAAATTTTTCACAGCATTATGTCATGATAAAAAATCATGCCGAAAATTAGAAGGCCGTGGATACTATTTAATCGTCATTGGAAATTCATTGTTACTCAAGTTGATGAATATTTACTTTGTGTATAAAAATTATTTATACGTATTGTACATCGAAAGAGAATTTCGGTGTAGCAAATAACCGTATGACAAATACCATGAAAGACGTTGCGTAGGCCACTAAAAAAGGAAAAGCGTATAGTATACTTATA